AGACTTCATCTTTATTTACTGAACACCTACTATGTGTCCACAGCTCAGCAGCCCAGAAACTAATTGAGATCTGCTTAGCCCCAGTGGGATAAAGTTTGAGCCATGCATGATAAAGTTTGAATCAAAACTCTGATTTAGAAGGAAGGAACAAGCAAGCCGCCTCAAAGGGAAGGAAAAGGGCACCAGGCCCCATTCTGGGAGGGACAACGTCTCGACCTCTCCTCAAAGGAAGTCTTAAGTGTGGACCCAGGTGCTGCTGAGGGGGGCCGGGTGGGGTGGGGATAGATAAAAGGCTTTCTGGTGGCCCTCTGACCCCAGCCATCCCACGGGAAATGAGCGAGGAGGCTGCTGGCTGGCAGACAAGCAGGTGTGCCCTTAAGAAGCCACGGAGATTAGCTGGGGCTTATCCAAACCTCTGCAGGAGGCAAATCTCTCCTGGCTCTCTCAGGAGACCTCAGTGCTCCTCTGGCATCAAATAAGCCAGATGCAGAATGGACGTCAACTTGGCCTTTTGTGAATCTAGGGCCCCAGAGCGGGAATCTGGACACCATCACACTCACCAGGACCCTAATAAGAATAAGTTTTTAAAGAATACAAAAGGAAAAGTGGGGAGGGGAGGATGACTTCAAAGCAGGATCACAAAAAGATGGAACTTTATTTATGTTTGGATCTTTGTCTTTGGAGCAATTGTTTGCCACCCAAATTAGAAGAGAAACTGCTCCCCCCCACCCCGAAAACGTGGCTTATGGGGAAAATAGGTGGTTACTATTCTTCAGCAAAGGTAAAAACCAGGGTCAAAGGTTGAGGGCTCCCTTTCTTGGAAATCCTAAGGAAAGGAAGTAAATTGGCAACTTCAGCTGTGGAAAGAGGGGGAAGAGGGTTCCCATCAGTGCAGAACATGTCCACTTCGCACTATGTCAATGTATAATGACGTGGGAGAAAGGGCATTGGCTCTAGATCCAGAAGATATGCACTGGAATCCTGATTCTGCTGTGTATCCACTGTGTGACTTTAAATAGGTCACTTAACATCTCTGAGCCTTAATTATCCTATTCTGAGATGAGCCTAGCAATGGCTCCTTCATAGAGCTGCTTGAGCATTAATAGGTTAATATATGTAAACACCAGGCATAGTAACTAGCACATAGAAGGTGCTCAATAAAAGTGAGTTCCTTCTACTTTTCTCCTCTTTCAACAACTCAACCATATATTTATATATTATGTGTATGTACATAAAATATAAAACAAAAGATAAAATCTTTACTATTTTTGATTTGCAGAAACTCACTCCCAGCAATGATAAGTCACTTGCCCAGACTTCACTCAGATGGAAGGAGCAGAGGTCAGAACACAGGTCTCCCTGATGCTCTTGCTAGGTCTTGCTATTTAATCGACACCATAAAGATAGCCCAATACTCAGTCTTTGAAAGGTCAACTAATGGCCATAGCAGAAGAGAGACCTGAGAATCAGATGCTAGTATACCACAGGCCACCTCTTGCAGAGGTGACAGTCAGAGAGATAGTAGTTGTAACTATCTCTCAAACATGGTTGAAACTGGCCCAGAAAACCTGTGGGACATACAGAGTTTTGGCCAGGGGTGGGAAGGTGGTACCTGCAGTGTTAACTAATAGCGTAATCAAGAGCTTTCTTATATTTTAAACTGGTTATACCACATACATATCGAAGTATAAGACAATTCACTCTGGAATGGCTGAAAATATGGAGATGTCCTTGATTCAATAACAACACCACCAAGAAAAATAGTAATTTTGTTTTCTTTTCAGAGCCTCCTTGACCTCCTCAATCGCAATAATGGTGAAAGCAGGAATACAACTCCTCAGACAGACTCCCAGTTTTCCCTCTTCTTAGCTCTCCCAATCATCATGGTAGAACATTTCTCTTCAAGAAGCCAGGCTATGATATATCTTGTCTTTATTTCTTCCCAGAAGTGTTTGAATTTCTACTCCTATTGAAATTGTCTTGTCACCAATATCTAAACTTTCATAATTTTAGAAATAGAAGGAATCAGGTACATGTTCCAATTTTCCCCTCTTGTTTTATAAATTGAAAATTGAGGAAGTTTCATCCAAGGACAAGAAACAAACTTGGCCAGCTCCCTACTCCATGCTTTGCCCAGGGTTTCACGTGGATGGAAGAAACAATCACCTTGTGCAATGATTATTATCCCCACAGAGCTAACTGTGCACAAAGCCCATGATAAAGGCTCTCAGGGTCAAGTGTGATAAGAGCACAATTATTATGACAAATATCCAAATATTCCATTGAGCATATTCAGGAAAAAAGTAAGCAAATAAAATGCCAAAAAGCCCTTGAAGTCTTTGAGACCAGCATTTCCTTTTTAATCCTGAGATTTCTTTATAGATTCTCAAGATAATTAAAATTTTTGAGGCTGCTATAATTATTGTGAAGCTAGCAAACCACCAATAATGTAGTATTTTGTTTATTCTCATTATATCTGAAAAAGTTTCATTCAACTAAAGCTAACAGAGCACTATGTGCCAAGAATATGCTAAGTGCTAAGAATATGACAATGGACAGCCACAGCCTTTCTACTCAAGAAATTCAGTCTAAGGAGGGGAAACAGGTTCTATACAATAGAGATCAGAACTTAAATGTAAAACCTAAAACCATAAAACTCTCAGAGAAAAGCATAGAGGAAACGTTTCATGCTACTAAATTTGACTTGGACATAAAAACAAAAGCACAGGCAACCAAAAGAAAAAAAAACAGATTAATTAGACTACATCAAAACTAAAAACTTTCTATGCATTAAAGGACACAATTAACAGGGTGAAAAGACAATTCACTGGATGGAAGAAATATTTGCAAACTGATGTGGTAAAGGATCCAGAATATATAAAGAAATGCTACAACTCAACAACAACAAAAGCAATCTGATTTTTAAATGGGTAAAAAAAAAAAAAAATACTTGATAAACATTTCTCCAAAGATATACAAGTGGGCAGTAAGTACAGGAAAAAAATAGCATAACTAATTATTAAAGGTATACAAATCAAAACCACAATGAGATTTATACCTATAAGGATGGCTACTATGAAAAAAAAAAAAAAAAAACCAGAAAATAAGAGTTGGTGAGGATGTGGGAAAATTGGAATCCTTAGTGGAATGTAAAGTGGTATCACTACTATGGAAAACAGTATTGTGGTGTTTTAAAAGAATTAAAAATAGAATCACCACTTGAGCCCTTAATTCTAATTCTGGGTATGTACCCAAAGGAATTAAAAGCCGGAACTCAAAGAGATATTTGTAGTAGTATTATTGTTAATCGACAAAAGTTGGAAGCAAACCAAGTAGCCATGGTTGGATGAATGGATAAAGAAAACACAGCATATATCAGCCTCACTAGTCATCAGAGAAATGCAATTTAAAACCACACTGAGATGCCACCTAACTCCAGTCAGGATGGCCATCATCAATAACTCAAAAGACAACGATGCTGGAGAAGATGCGGGAAAGAGGGAACACTTCTACACTGCTGATGGGAGTGTAAACTAGTACAACCTCTGTGGAAAACAGTGTGGTGATTCCTAAAAGACCTAAAAATCGGCCTCCCCAGATGGCCCCACAATCCCCCTACTGGGAATATACCCAGAGGAACTCAAATCACTCTATGAAAAAGATACCTGCATGTGTATATTTATTGCAGCATGTTCACAAAGGCAAAAACCCGGAACCAACCATGCTGCCCATCGAAAGAGGACTGGATTTAAAAAAAGTGTGATACATATACATGATGAAATATTACACAGCCAGAAAGAAGGACAAAATTATGAATTTCGCAGCAACTTGGATGAACTTAGAGCCTATAATACTGAGTGATCTATCACAGAAACAAACAACCGAGTATCACATGTTCTCACTCATAAGCAGACCTTGAACAATTATTGCAATACGATAAGAAAGTGATTGGCAGTAGTGGGAAACTGCCAGGGGAGGACCAGGGGGAGATTGACAGTCGTGGAAAACTGCCGAGGGGTGGGCTTCATCGACAAGGGTACATGCATAATGAGCATTTGTATACCTAACCCTGACTTGTACCCCACATATTTAAAATAAAAAAATTTTTAAAAAGAAAATGCAGCACACACACACAATGGAGTATTACTCAACCTTAAACAGGAAGAAAATTCATATGTATGCTCCAACGTGGACGGACCTAGAGGACATTATGCTGAGTAATATAATCCAGTCACAAAACAACAAATATTGTATGAATCCACTTATATGAGGTACCTAGAGTTCACATTTATAGAGACAGAAGGTAGAATGATGATTGCCGGAAGCTGGGGAGCAGGACAAATGGAAATAAGAGGTACAGAGCTTCAGTTTTGCAAGATGAAGAGAATTCCATGGATGGATATTGGTGATCACAATAATGTGACTATGCTTAAGACCACTGTACTGTACATATAAAATGGTTAAGATGGCAATTTTATGTTACACATATTTTACCAAAAATTTAAAATATACAGGCACTACAGTCGCCATCATCAGTTGGCTAACCAGGAGCCAACATAGGTCGCCAGCGCCCCAGTAAACTCTACAAGGGACCACACCAGGTGAGGCCCTTACAAAAACCTACTCAAAAAGAAATCTTAAGATTCTGTGACAGTATGGTATACCGAGAGAAGAGGGAGGCCTTGTTGAAAAAAGCTGGTAAGCTGCAGAGCCCTGTCAAGCCTTTCCTGGAGACTGCAAGCCTCACTACAGCTTTACACAACCACTAGTGTTAAATTTTTCTATTAACAGAAATAATTTTAAAAGCCATTTTTATCTCTACAGAATAGATATATTAAGACAGACAAGCATGTTATAAGTCATACACTTTTGGCTTTGACTCTTGTTGAACTTCATAGCTTCTGGCAGGGGCATGGGTACTCTTGACCAGGCATGGGAGATCTTTGTAGTTTTTTGGTACATTTTACAAACAAGTGTTAAACATGCCAATAAGGACTTACCAATGGTACTTCATCCAAGAAACACTCTAGGTCTTACTTAGTCTTCAGCAGTGAAGGTTCTCTGGAGTGCCATGGTCTTAGAAAGATGAGAACAATTGGATGTGGAACACCAGGATCTTCACTGAGGTAAATACAAGAAAGGCAAATTACTTATGGTGCAGCTAAAATAATTTCCCCATGACCCCAACATTTATAGATGTCATCCAAGATATCAGTGCCCTTAAAAAGTCACAACTTTATTCAGAGCATTTAACAAGTTCTTTTTAAATGTCTTCTTTATGCTGGGTGCTGTGCTAGGTTAGGGGTATACATAAATAAGCTATAGCCCCTGCATTTGACAACCTTACATCCTGGAGTGTGAGAAAACATTAAAGAATGAATTACAATGGCATTAGATAGAACATGCTTTGGTTTTGTCCGCACAAGCTGAAGAAAGTACACACACCTCCCCTCACACCACTTTTTGTTGAGACAGTCAACGCCCACAGAAACAAAAGGCGGATCAAGTAGTGTCACTTCATCATTTTACTTGATGAGGTGGCTGTCTTAAATCCATGTTTCCTGATGCCCAAGTGTCTCTCCGCCACCATGAGACTCTTAGTCAACGTCAGGACTCGATTGGAGCCAGAAGCTGAGGCTGAGATCACAAGCTCTCCAGCCCGTGAGTCTCCCACAGAGGAAACACTCCCTGTCCCTTGGCCACAGAATATGCAGCCATACCTTTGATCAGAAAGGCAAGCAGCCAGCAAGTGTAAATGGCAAATCCATCAGCACCATTATCCAAACTGCAAGGTTGGCAGTATTGTCTTTAAGAATTAAAAATGACACATCACGACAATTACATGGCTCTGACAGATCTCACTGCCTGACACGCTGGTTCAGCCTAATTCCCAGACTGTTTCAGACACCCAAACAAATTAACACATGTTCCCTGATGATACAAAAATTATGTCACTGTGTGTGTGTGTGTGTGTGTGTGTGTGTGTGTGTGTGTGTGTGTGTGTAAACCTCCATACAACCACATCATCATCAATTAAATATCTATCAGACTTCACTGACCTATTACAAAGCATCATGCATCGGCCCTTGGAGCATCAGCCTTGTCTATTTTTAAAAGCCAGCTTCTAGCTTGGGTCAGTGGAACATACTAAACCTCAATGAAGAGCTCTCACTATCTTTTGTACTGGATCCATACCCCAGGCTGAATGAGTCTTTTAGAACCAGCAAGAACCAGATGGCCCTCCAAGATCATTTTTGAATGTTTGGATCTGAGTCATTTGTATGCGGAAGGCTTCACAAAATAGCAATCTGGGGAACATGCTCCAGGCTGAGTCCAGCTTTCCAGACAGCCCATCTTTGCCTACAATTGAGAAGACAAGCACAATATTGTAGGGTTCCACAAAAATATTGCAGCATTTATCTATATGTGTAGCATCAAATACATGAAGTGTCCCAGTCAGGCTGTCACTACAATGGTAGTTCGCCACCATTCTTCCTTCCCACTGCCCCCAAGTATTTTTCTTGTTGCTACTGTACCTACAACTTCTCTTCTAGCACAGGCATAAAGCCAGCTTTGTGAATTGGCCAGCAGAGGGTACTACAATACTGGTGCAATAATCCAGAGCACAGCAAATTCACAGCTGAAAAAGATTTAGACTAATTAAAATGGGCTCCCGTTTTTATTATGTGCTTGGAGCCAGAAAGAGCAGTGCTGTGAAAGGGAACCAGAACTGGTAGACGAGGCCTGCTCATCTGAGGGAGAGGTAAAGCCGCAGTGCGTGTCCAGTATCACAAGCCCAAGAGGTGAGGCAAACCCAGGTTCAAAAGTGGGAAGAGACCAAAATGAAGGGATCAACAGCTTCTGGGTATTCACTCTAGAGAAAAACAAACTTATGTTCATGCAAATACCTGCACATGAATATTTATAGCAGTTCTTTATAATCACCCCAAACTGAACAACTGAAATGCCCTTTAAGCAGTGAATGGAGAAACCAAGTGCAGTATATCCATACAATGGAATACTACTCAGAAACATAAAAGAACAAATTATTGATACATACAACATGGATGAATCTCAAAGCCATTCTCAAAAAGAAAGTTCCATTCACATGATTCCATTTATATGACATTCTCAAGAGATCAGCAGTTGACAGGGATTGGGGGTGAAGAGAGACTGGGTGACTACAAAGAAGAAGCATGAAAGAATTTTTTGGAGTGATGGAACTGTTCTGCATCCTGCTTTTGGTGATTGTCCATGAATCTATACATGTGTCAAATACATAGAACTGTACACCATAAAAAAAATTAAATCCACTGTTTTAACTTACTGAAAAAATTGAATTTGATTAATGGTATGTTGTTTCAAAAATTAAAATTTTTTAAAGAAAAAGTAATTCATTAAAAAAAAACAGGATAGAACATGAGGGGTAGAATAGGATAAGCAGATAGAGTGAGGTCAGTTCATGGGTATCGTCAAGACTGTATAGAGGAGGTAAAGTATGGGAGGACACAGTAGAGTTGGGCCCAGGAGAAGGGTGCCAGGAATTAGGTGACAAGGTCAGGCTCCCACGACCAATTGGTTCATGTGAAGAGTGGTGTTTTACTGAGTAATGGAGCTCGAACTAAAGAGTCAAGAGCAACCAGCTAGACCCACATGGTGGTGATGGTGTAAGGAGGCCACCACTCAAGGCTGGGGCAGGACCATAGTCTGACTACCCTTAGGAGCCAAACTCTATGATGGCATAGAACAGCTTCAAGTTAATTCTAGGAGCCAACATCCGTGACAGTGTATATCAACCTGAAGTCAATTTTAGGAATCCAAATCCATGATTTTGTAAAACAGCCTCAAGTTAGTTCTTCATCTCACTGACTGGTAAGGAGGGGCTCATTATCTTTGGGCAAGGGCTTATTTGAGAGGAGAAGTGGCAAACAAAAGCAAGATAATCTAATTTAACCCTCTCATTCACAGATGAAGAGCCTGGGAGAGCAAAGTAGGGTGAGTCCTCAAAAATCATACAACTTGTCACTGCCCTCAGGGGAAGTCTCCTACATGCCAGCTCTTGACCTTTTCCCCACACCTTGCATCACTTCCTCATCCATATGTCTAGCCTGAGATTGCATTTCTTCTCATCTGCCTTAAGTACGTGAGGTTGTGTTTTACATTTAAAAGACATCAAAATTTCTAAAAGATCTAAAAATTGACCTTCCATAGGACCCCACAATCCTCCTACTGAGAATATACCCAGAAGAATTGAAATCACTCTATGAAAAAGATACCTGCACAATTATTCACAATAGTAAAAAAACATGGGGCCAATCATGCTGCCCATCAAAACAGAACTGGATTTTTTAAATGTGGTACAAGTACATGATGGAATATTACGCATTCATAAAGAGGGACAAAACTATGAACTTCACAGCAACTTGGATGGACTTAGACTATATAATACTGAGTAATCACAGAAACAAAGAATTGAGTGCCACATGTTCTCACTCATAAGCGAACCTTGAACAATTTTCATAATACTATAAGAAAGGGATTGGCAGTAGTGGGAAACTGCCAGGGGAGGGAGGGTAGGATTGGCAGTAGTGGGAAACTGCCAGGAGAGGTGGAGCACACATCATCAACAAAGGTATCTGCATAATGAACATTTTTATACCTAATCCTGAATTGTAGCCCACGTCTTTAAATTGAAAAAAAATTTTTTTAAAGTAAATAAAAAATAAAAGACAGCGAGACAAACAAAGGTGACTCCATTGTATTCCACCATAATCCATTGAAAAGTGTACTACTTTCCTTAACTTTTGATGTGTTGTTCTTGCTGTTCTTTTCTCTGATGAATTGCTCATTCGTTCCTGTATCTGATTCCTGTATCAGCCTTCTCTTATTCAAGCTAAGTCCAATGATTAGATTGCTGATTGAAAAAAAATCATCAAAGAGTCCTTACCTATCACATCGCCTGTTATTCCTATCCAGATTTTTTATTTCCATCTAACTTCAGAGAGCTCAAAAGAAGGAGAATTGTCTCATGCATTGCACCTGCGGCTCTCTTAGATTGAAGAGTATGTGGGAAAAGGTCTGGTTGAGAAGTTGGTATGAAGGTATTACTCGAGGCTCTGCTGATAACTGGGTGTGAGATTTTAGGTCAGTCTCTTCCTTTCTCTGAGTCTTCATTGACTCCTCTAAAAAGTGAGTCCTGTGAGTTATGGGATCTTTAAGGTACTTTATAGTTCTACAGTGTTGTATTTCTGTGTTTATTGCAAGTGGAGATGGCAAATACTCAAACCAATGTACAAAAGAGTTCATAATTTTCCATTGAGTTCAACCAAAAAATGCGTTGAAAGTCTATTTTCAGGCTGCATACCAGCTTAGAGGGATATAAAAATAATTTAAAAAATTAAACCCCACCTTTAAGAACACATAACCTAATGGATTAGAACAGGAGTCTGGAGTTAAAGGATCTAGATTCAAGGCACACTGTTGCACTTGGAACAACTCGGGCCATTTACTTAACCTCTATGAACCTACTTCTTCATCTATACATTGTGAATAGTAATGGCTCCTGCTGGGAGTTAATAATAAATGGGAGTATATTCGTTTTTATTATTGAGTCATTCATGTTACTATCTGCTCTCTTGAAACAGTGTTTTTCGTTTTTGTCTCATATCTTTTAGCAAATGATCTCCACTTTTAATCTCATCTCTCGAAGCTAAATATGCTACTCATGATTTGAGATGCAACTCAAGTTCTACTTCTCCAGGAAGACTTCTCTGTCTGCTCCAGCCTACACAGGTCTTCCTTGCCTCTGGTTGTCTTTTGCCTTTATTGAACACTTGCATGGTATTGTCTATTGCTTCACAATTGACTAGAGTGTCTACAGCTTTAAGATCGCCTGAATCCCAACTGGGATGGACTTAGAGTCTATACTACTGAGTGATCTATCGCAGAAACAAAAAAACTGAGTATCACATGTTCTCACTCATAAGCAGACCTTAAACAATTATCACAATACTATAAGAAAGGGATTCGCCGTAGTAGGAAACTGCCAGGGGAGGTGGGGGGTGCACTTTAACAAGGGTACCTGCATAAAGAACATTTGTATACCTAACCCTGAGTCGTTCCCCACATCTTTAAAATTAAAACTTAAAAAAAAAGAGATCTCCTGTATCCTAGGTCCTTGCATTACCAACTGCATATAGAACCATCAAATTCTACCTAGGCGGGGTGCAGTGGCTTGCACTGATAATCCCAGCACTTTGGAAGGCCAAGGTGGCAGAATCACTTGAGACCAGCCTGGGCAACATAGAGAGACCATATCTCAAAAACAAAATAAAACCAAACTAGATGGATGTGGTGGTGCACACCCGTGGTCCCAGCTACTAAAGAGGCTAAGGCAAAAGGATTGCCTGAGCCCGAGAGATCAAGATTGCAGTGAGCTGTGGTCATGCCATTGCACTCTGGCCTGGGAGACAAAGTAAAAGTCCTACTCCAAAAAAAAAATTCTACCTGTATCAAGTATAATCCATAATCATGTCCAGAGGCCCTGCTCCTCTTCTTGATATCACCTCAGTTTAAAATATCTCAGTAACTTAAATGAAACACCTAAGCGTTTGTCATGTTTTTCCTCTATCATACCCACCTCCACCCCATCCTATTTAATTCCAACTCATGCATCGCTCAGATCCATCCTTCATCGTCTCCATTGCCACAGCCTTATTTGAGCATCTCTTGGCTAAATTAACGCAAAGGTAAAGGAAAGGATGTATCAGTATCACCTAGCAAGCTATTCCCAAGTATCCTTGCTTACCTTCCCATCATCCTCTATCATATCAGAAATTAGTTTGGACACTAATCATCAAAGAAATGTAAATTAAAACCACACTGAGATACTTCCTAACTCCAATCAGGGTGGTCATCATCAACAACTCAGAAAACAACAGACGCTGGAAAGGATGTGGGGAAAAGGGAACGCTTCTACACAGTTGGTGGGAGTGTAAACTAGCACAACCTCTGTAGAAAACAGTGTGGTGATTTCTAAAAGATCTAAAAATCAACCTTCCATACAACCCAGCAATTCGTCTTCTGGGAATATACCCAGAGGAACTCAAATCATTCTATAAAAAAAGATACCTGGCACACATGTTTATTGCAACATTATTCACAATCGCAAAAACATGGAACCAACTGTGCTGTCCATTGAAAGTGGACTGGATAAAAAAATGTGGCACATATACACGATGGAATATTATGCAGTCACAAAGAAGTACAAAATATTGACTTAGCAACAACTTGGATGGATTTAGAGACTATAACACTCAGTGATCTATCATAGAAACACAGATCCAGTGAGTACCACTGGT